ACGAAATAAAATAGAAAACCATAACTCCCTATCCACTTTCTATAATTCGTAAATTCCACAAAATTCAGCAACAACATCAGCCTTGCGAGGTGAGGGGGAAGGAGAGAGGAGGAGGTAGCTTTGAGCATGGATCCGAAGAACACGCCCACGCCGTGACTGACCATAACTACAATACGAATTCAATGTTAGAAGAAATAAATGCCGATAGATTTCCTTCCTATTGCTTTTCCAACGGACCATTTGCGCTCCAAGGTGGTGTAAGCATGGGGCGCTTATAAGTTTTAACACCCATTACTATGCCACAGACTAGCTTTGCTCAATTGATTCCTATCTGACCCTTTTCTACAGCTTCTACAAATTCAAATCATTGGATCATTATCATTTCTACAATGGATGTATTCAGGAACACAGCTTTCTACTGGAAGCGAGTTGGAGATATTTGCGGCGGACGGTGCAACAAACCCATTTTCGTTCGACACTAATGACGGCGATCGCAAAGAAATAAAAGGAGGAAGGATCGTTTTGTATCTGTACAGTACCTAAGAATTCTATAAGCATATTTGATACAAAAAAGTATCTCAGTAAATCACTTTGACGCAATTTCGTAAATTCATGAGCCATGGCTTTCTGCAAGAGAATAAAGAAGAACATAACCCGAATTGGTGCTTCATCCGAGTGAAAAGCGCTCAGTCTATGATAAGGAGGATTTGTACATTTCAACAACTTGCAGAAGCCAATAATGAGCTATCGTTTTTGTATAGCGGCTAAGAGAGTCGTGAATTGAACCCCCTCCCGTATAGAGAGGGCAGAAGTGGTGTAGCCGTTGATGCCGCTGCTTACCACGTAGGCGAAAATCATACCCTGTGTCGCACGCCGTCGTCGGTAACCGACCCCTTCCACTTTGGGGACCGGGTAATTGCTACCAGAGTTGTCTGGTAAATAAAAACAGTTGAGGTTGTATTAGGTACCGGATATCTTAATGTCGTTTTTCTGAGTTCAGGAAGTTTCGGGGCCGATTACCATGGAAAATCAATTTCTCAGAACGTTCTTTTTGCTTATTAATACTACGTAATATGTTGCTTATTAGTCCCTATTGTTACTTTACAATTTACCTCTCCCCCAATTTTTATACCTTTTTCTGAAAATTCCTGGGTTCATTGCGCAAATTCGTATGTGTGTACCAAATGCCATCAAAGTCGGGCTGGGAGCTACAGATCCGCCAACCAAACTAACATTGCTTTTGTTAGAGGGAATACTACCGTTTGGAATGCTCACCGGTTCTCCTCAGGTTTTCCTTAAAAGACAGTGAAGTTTTTGAAAGGATGCCTGCAATCGTCTTCAAAAAGATGGCCCTAGTTAAGCCAGCTGAGAAGGGGCTGCACCAGACTTGTGCTGAAATGGTAGGATACTTTCACTCTGATGGAATGATGATGCGCAAACATTCCTATGAATTTGATTCCGCAAGATATTCTGATAAATGTGCTCACCTGCCTCTCACGCGCGCTCAAAAAGGGTGCGTTTTTGACCCTATGTTGCAAAAAAGTCTCCGTAAAAAACTGCCCACTTGGCTGATAAGTTCTAATTTTTCTGTCGTGCAATGCAGACCCTACGCTAACCAGCTGTATACTTACTTTGTCCAGGCCTTACTTTTTAGCAAGTAAGAGGGATGATTTATCAGAGGATGTCAAAACCGACCTGCCTCTCCTTTTTAACTCAAAAAATTCCGAGCTTGGATCGTGCAAGGTTTCCACTCAAACTGTTAGATGAGGGGATCCTAGTAAGTCATTTTATGATTAAACTAATTCGCTCCCCGGGTTTTGAACTGAAATATTGCTGGTCCAAAACTCTTGGTGAAAAAACGACATTAAGATATCCGGTACCTAATATTGTCGGCTCCAACGATTGGTTTAGCATTATTCGCGATCTTTATCACCACGATCCTTAACGAAAGTGGAATGCGTGGCGCATTCAGAAGGACCGATTAACGCCGAAGAGCTCCAGGCCCAATCCTAACGCATAGGCGAAATCCGTAAAATATGTAACATGCTATTATGTTCAATTTGCGGTAATATTATAATTTTCACCCTATAATTTTATCCGATGATTACGTTGAGAAGTATTTCTCTGGCGGTAAATCCTCCAGGATTGGAAGACGAAACGCAGAACCAACTTGTTTCTTTGAAAAAACCTAGAAACGTCTGGAAGATTCTTCCTGATCAGTTGCATTGCACTAATATTTTCTTCATATGTGTAGAGTGGATGGACTGGATTGAGACTAAATTATTTTGCTCTGGGCCAATATTCTAGGCACTTCAATATTCGCCAGTTTGATATCTATTCGTATCCAGCTAATAATATATTCGATGAGCGGGTTGGTTTTGGACCTCAAAATAGGGGATTGATGAAATTGCCAGGCTGTGCTCACAAACAGCTCTGTGTAAACGTGAGTATCACCAGTAGCACATTATTATAATAAGATAAAGGATAAAGCATTTGCCGTTGATCAATCCCTTTTTGGGATGCGGCACGCATTCTACTTCCATTTGTACATTCGTAGTGGCGTTTGAATGCGATGTGGCCTATACAATGACTTGCGGGGCCAGCCGATGTACAAGTCAGTGTTTTTATCCTCCCAGACCAGTAGGGTCAATCCTATGGTGCAACAAGTACCACCGAGTGGGGGGAGTCGTATTTTAGTGAGCTTGTGGGTGGGGGGGGGTCGTATCCGATGTTATTTTAGAATTCATGGGTGAGTTTAGGGTGTGTAATATGAAGGAGCGTTGAAAATTTTGTTGTTTCGGTGTACGTGAAGAGGGTGGTGAAGGGGTGTCGTGAAATTGTTGATTGTAGGGAAAAAAGAGGTCGTAAAAAAAGTTCCGAAAAGTCGCAACGGTGAGACCGGCCCTGCCTCCCAGACAAGTCTGGTACCAATTAACCGACCCCGGAGGGATGGAAGGCTTGGTTGGCCCGGGCGACTCACGACCCAGGATTTGATCCCGGACCGCTCGCGTGGTAAGCGTGCCACTTGCCACTACACCACTTCCGCCCTTATTAGCACATGGGACTTGAAAACTCGTCAGACTATCACTAGCCGCTAAACATGAATAATAGGAGAGGGTAATTCAGATTGTGACAGTAGATATCTGTGCTTCAACCATCTTCAAGAAATACTCAAAAAATTATATTCTACAGAGGACATTACCTGCATCAGGGTTCATGCACCGATTAGAAAAAATGCCAAAATTAGACCTTATATGTGAACGACGGACGTTTACTCAAAGCTTCAAAGTTCGCTGTGATGTGTGGTGCAAATCTCAAATCGAAAATCGTCACGTGTGTTGCTAAAACGGGATGCAGAGGAGGAGAAACTGGTTCAGGTAAGAGTGGTCTTAAACGTTGAAAGCCAGGAGAACAACAGACACACAGCTTCAGCGAAGGCAGTGGGCTTATCGTTTAGCCAGAATCCAGCAAGTTAGTGAAACAGAAAGAGGTTGGGAAACTATCACACGCTTTTTACCCAAGAACCCAAAAGCACACCCTGAGGGATAACTGACACAATAAAAAGGTCCAAGGAATAATCATGAATTCGATGAGTTTCTGAGCTTATAATTTAGTATGTGTGTTGCTCAAATTAAACCCACTGGGACACTAATGATCTGATATGGAGCATGGGGTTCAGGCCGCAGAGATCTCAGCTAGTATCGTCGCACATGCGTTTTGAATAGTTATATTTGCATCCTCGTAGAAAAGTTTATGACGCTTGTTTGGTGTTTTAGTTAAACTCTTTGTCCTCAATTCCCTTACTGATGAGCACAAAGGAGATTCACTTGTTCAGTCTCCGTCTAAGGGTCACGTGCGAAACGGAGACTGAACGACTTCTTTGTTCACCACCCCTTAAAATAAATGTAAAAACTTGAAGAATAATGTTCAGTTTTGAATAAACATCGTTATCAGGATAATATATAAAATAAATTAGTTCGATTCAACTTGTTTTTATTGCAAACATAATAACTGATTGTTATCCGGTATTGCCCGAGTTGATGCATCCAAATTTTATGTCAAGGCAAATCTAGAACCAGAGGAGGGCCTGAGAAAATTTCATATGCAACGCCAAGAACTAACGTGAGGCTCTATAGCTTCACCTGTCGTGCGGAGTCTATATATGCTTCTCTTGAAGGACGACTTCACGATTGTGAAGATCGGTGAGGATGACCAAAACAGATTTCCTTTCATGGCGTTGAATTTTATGCTCGAATGGTTTATTCTTCATTTGAATTTTAAAACAAAATTTGTTATTTTATTCAGCTTTGATTGCCAGCATATTCCCTGGTGAATAGGCAATAGACACTGGTTCTACACTTTAAACTACTATGAAAAGCAGCGGATTCACAGACTCTCAGGATTAGGGAGCTAAATATTTACAATACATGATGGGATTCACCGAGCTGCAACGCGACTGCATTTCTCTGCCACGTTTGAATCAATTCCATCAACAAAAAAGGAAACAAATTAATTGTCGGCTTCCATGGCTGTGGCTCTATACTACGTTGATCCATGACCTCTCAGCTGAGAAGTAACGAACGAGTTAACCTAGGGAATAGAACTACGAGAGATCTTCTATCTCGTACACACTACTTGGTCGCATTATTCTACTGCCCATCTTGATGAGCAATCTCTGTGGCTTCCTACTACCTCTTAACTTCACTTTGAGCATCGCTTCTGTTTCGTTTCACAATTATCAGCACATCAATGCGGACCAATCTTTTCACTTATGACTTCTTAAATCTCTATAGGGTTATCCTGAATTAAAAGGATTCTGCGCATCTCTGGAAATAAAATGTTAGAAACGGGCGAGACTTAACATCCGAGAAGTCAGTTTCGGACTGTACAAGTTGCACAGTGGTTGTCCAGGAGAGGCGTTTCACCTAGCGTCATGTGGCTAGTTGGGGCTTTCTACGAGTATTCTTTATACTTCACTGGATTTGTAATAACGCAACTATGCTTGCATCGTATAAATAAATAAACAATGAAACCTCTTCAAGCCATCTTTCAGGTCAATGTTCGATAAAAGCCTGCATTCGCAGAATGTGACCAGGGTAAAAATGTTGTCCCGGGGTGGGGGCGGGGGAGCAGATCCAATCGAAGTGGAGTTGCAGAAAGGCACTCATATCTTATCACAACATAATCATCATATCTTTCACTGAGACGGTGGCCTACGATCACTACGTCACACTTGTTACCCTTCTCGTATTATTCTCTAGCAAAAATGGCTGCTTCCTTGCTGACTCTTCACTGTCACCAAATCTTCTTGCGATGGCCATGCAAGCCTCCGAGGGCTTTTCAGGTATCCAATTGTGTACGAAATCTAGGTTGGTGTCCCAATCTCACTCGGAGCCTGCTCTGAATGTTGGCTGGATATGAGTGACCTTCCACAACTCCACTTGATTAGATATTGTCACTTCGATTGGATATTATGTGTGCCCCCCGAAACTACATTTTCACTGTTCGCTTCGAATTCATTGTGTGCTTCCCCCACGCCTGAACTACATTTTCATTCATGTGGCGAGCTATAAGTTATGATCAAAGAATAATTTGTAAAGTTTGATCGAGAAAAAAAGTCACCAGCTTAGCAAGCTTTTTCACCAGCCAGGGCGATTCTTAAGAGTACCGGGCGGCGTTTCAATCTCACCGCGCGTGCAGTGTATTCTTGACTGCTGTCCAGCTCCCATGCCAATTACCTGAATGATGACTACCTACAGTGACGGGTTTTCTCAGAAATACTACAAATGGTGGCTATCAAAAGCATACGTGCTGCACGCAACTACAATTCCCCACCACATCCCACAATTTGATAAAGGTTACCCTTCCGCGGTGCATGTCCGATAGTTTCGAACGCTATTTAAGCACATTTCCCTTGGGAGCTGTTAACGGGGTTGGTAATGACGTTAATTGTGGGGTGTGGTTTATAGTGCACCAAATGAAAGGTTTACGACCAAGGAAGGCGGAAGTACAACGTAGGGCCATACGTACCTGTCCTCGGTGAGCAAAGCAAACCGTGTTCGATTGAGCATACTTGAGAGCGACTGTGGCCACAATGAGATCATCGGTGGCCGCTTTGTTCAACTGAAATGTGACTATTCGATTTATAGGAAACAGCGACCAAGATGCCCTTCAAGGCCCTCTTTATGTTCATTACTTGCATTAGAAAGGTAGCCAGAAGTGCGTATAAGTGGCAGTGGGCTGCTCAAACCCGCGCGATCTCGGGATGAAATGCTTGGTCGTGTGTCCCATGCCTTCCATTCCTCCAGGGTCGGCTATTAGTACCAAACTTATCTGGGAGAATGAAAACACTGACGTGTACATCGACCGGCCCCTTCAAGTCATTGTACATATAGGCAAAATCGCCTTCCAACACTACGACTCTGTACGGAAGTAGAAGGCGTGGCGCATCCCCTGACTGATTCTGACTCAACGACTTATGCTGTCCCCCTTAATTTTTACTGTGTGTTCAAACAATTTCTCAAGCTTAACAGTACATTCAAAAAGGTTAGCTGTCGAAATTTAGCAGAATTCACTTCGCACTCGACTTCATTCAGGATTGTAGGAGTTTTCAGAAGTTACATAACTCTACCTTTTGCGTGAGCACGAGCAGGCTGATATGATTATTCTGTGGTGAAAAACCAAGTTAGAGCTGCAAAGAAGTGGATCTAGTGCAAAAGAAAAGTATTCATGGAAAACTCCGAACACAGAACTAATTTTCTCTAGGCTAAATTCCAAGAAACAGACAGCAAGATAAGAGATAGTAAGCGCCGTGGAGAGGAAAAAGAATCGATGGCGAGAGAACATGGATACTAGCGAGAGCGGATTGCGGGTCTGCGTAGTTTAGCCAAAAACAATGAAGTCAACTCCTGGGATAGAAGTGTTAGTAAGTGATTGGTGGACGCTGCTGAAACATGGACGATTAGCCGCCTTTGACCTGGCAATATTCATGTCGGTCATTAGGGTTTTCACACAGCATTTCAGGCACAAACTCTAATGCTGCTGATCTTCTTACCTTGCTCGGGTTCACTCCTGTACCTAAAACCCGTGTAATAATGGATGTGGCGCTTTTTGAATTACCGGTAAAGTCTTATAGATAAGCGCCTCAGTGTGCAGAAGAACGGTTTGGGCTACCTGTTTTTTGCTTTATCAGCTCCAGTGCGAATTGAAGCCGACCGAATTCGTAGTCAGAAAATAATGTTCTCTTTGAAAAGCGCGCGCGTAAAGCATGAAAGAGAGTAGTTTCACTTATGGCCAAAAGAGCGTGCTTGTCAGTCTTTTGCCAAAAAATGAGCGGGATTTTTAGCTAGATTCAGTACAGTCACAAACGTCCCATGGTGCTCAAGCACCTACAACTTCTTACTAATACATTTTCCACGTCCAGAACGTTTTTCACTCAAATTTAATGCGTACAGGAATTCCTCTCAATCAAAGCAATACAGGGCGATCAAAAAAGATAATGTATGCGCTTAAATGCTTGCGTAAAATGAGATTACTTATTTACATATACCGCCTGGTACATTTTTGGACGCGGACTATGAATTTGTTGAACATATTTGCTAAAGGTCGCCGTGGACAAGCGTCAATGACGTCTGAGGAAGCGCAGTGTTTTCCATCCGTGTCAGAGACAAAGCATATCCGCAATAAAGCTTCTAACAAGATCTAATGGAGATCGGCTACTGCCTCTAGAGTCTTTGCATGTCTAGGAAATATGCTCACACGAAGTTCAGGGTTTTTTGAAACGCAGGCCGCTTCCAAAGACTATCTCATGGATTGGTCTGGTCACTGTTTATGTCTTTGCTTAACCCCAAGTAAAGCTGCAAATCCCGCAAAGTTTATTTTCAACTACAGCTATTCCTTTACGCCCTTTATAGAGCAAATGTCTCAGTCGCAACTTTGAAGGCGGAGTTAAGACGTACTGGTGGGATAATGCTGATTGTTGACGCGGTTTCGCTATTCCTAAACCATACTCACTACAAAATAGCCTCAGATCTTCCTTTGTAGTGAGACGATTCCATGACGCTCTAGACCTGTGAGAGATAAGTTGAGATCCAATACCTTCCGCCGATTATTGGTCTGCCATATGTGGCGTTCTCTAACCAGAAACTAGTGAAGGTACAGAAAGTCAGAAAATGTTAACAAGTCATAGCTTGGCTATCACGCGATTTTGGCTCTTTGTGGGCGGAGGCCGCCAATTAATCGTATTTTTGCAAAAAGTGGGACCCCTTTTGGTGCTTGAAACAACAAGTACCTTGGCTCCCTCCACTAGCCGCATGAAAAGTCCTCTGAACGGAAGCCGAGTATGTGGTGCACCCTACGCAGTTTCACACTGTCTATCGTTTCGTTTTGGTTTCCAAGTAAATATTCAATGCGGGTCTCAGTGTTCCTTCCCAATATCAGCCATTTTGTCAAGCAGTAACGCAATTTCGAAGATGGACACTCGAGAAAATTGGATTTTCTCACAAATATACGCTTTGCAGATGACGTATAGCGATAGTAAGCGAACTGACGTTGTTGTGTTTTCCGACGACGTTGATGAAGGTGGTAGGCGTTGATGACGGCATTATTGCGTTTCTGCCGCAGTTTTAGGCCAAACACGGTTCTCTCCTCGGTTTCTGTGGGAACGTAGTTCGGGTTCACCTGAAACGATTCCTTTCTTGACCTCCAAAAATGGACTAGTATGGTACAACCTTCAACACGCAGTAATTGCCGTTTTTCTTCTTGGCCAGAAGGCTCAGAGCAGCGGGTTCGTAGCTGGGAGCGACGATACCATCGGAGACCTCCCTTCAAAATTAACTGCTATTGAAACAACAAAGTTAAACAACGAAGGTGGTGGACCACAAAAACACACCTGTTGATTATTTTCGCCGTGAGTTCATCGCACTTTTCCGACAATGCAATGAAATCGCCAAAAGAGGACATGCGGTCGGCCCCTGAAACTCGGACCATCAAGGTGCATAAGTGCTATAAGAAGCTGAGCATTGAATCGGTGAGGCGTGGACGACGATACAGAATGCATGAGAAGCTCGTCTACCGCCACGAAACACTAAAAACACCACCGAGAGCCTACCGACAATCGCCATCATCTTGTGCTCATTCTCAGTTTTCAACAACCATTCCTGCTCTCAAGCATAAGAACAACTTCAGAACAAAAACACATGCAAACCAACTACTATGTTTGTCTGAGTTCTAAAGGAAAGCTCTGATAGGCCAAGAAATCCAACGGACAGCATGCTTTCGAACTCTATATATCGCCGTTTACTGGTTAGGAAAGAGTTACAAAGCGTATTATTAATGAAACCCGAGTTAATAGAGGCAGTGAACACGGTGATTGAAAGGCAGAGCGGTTCTGATGACGTCACTGGACATTATTAGTAGGTCAGATCCCTCGCCTGCTTAGGACCACCTCCTAACGCTCTTCCACTAATGACGTCATTTGAACCGCTCCGCCTTTGAATCATCGTGTCCGCTGCCTTTAAACACAAAATGGTGATAGGGTTAGCGAGGTCAAAACAGTTACAGGTTTAGTGGAAGTTAACCTAAAAAGCTTTTCTACTTTTCTCCACCGACCTTTCATAAAATCTTCTTCAAAATTGCTAGGTTTCAACTATGCATGGTAAAGAAGTAAATAATCATTACCGATGCGTCTGACCACGAAAAGCTGAGTTGGAATGAAATGGTGCCCGCGGTAGCGTAACTGGTAGCGCACTTGTCTGAAAACGGGGTGCGCGGTTCGAATCCCGTCTGGCGAAAGTTTTTTGTTCACAACCCAGCATTCTTGTAAATAATTATTATTTTCTCCTACCAATGAGACCGATGCAAAATCCCGGGATTTGGTCAAACAGTATTTTGTTTCTTATGATGCAATTTTAATTAAGATTCCGGTGAATCTTTCTACAGGGAAAAACCTTTCGTGTCTTTCGACAAAAACGACAAACACTAATAATGAAGAAAAGAAATTCCAACCAACTCTGAAGCGTTTTGATTTTGTACGTATTCTATTTCGTTAGCATGCGATTCAATTTTAGCATCTCATGCAAACCAAACCATTTTCTTTCCCCGAGGCCTTCTTTGTAAATACCAACGGACATAGCAGGGCGGGGGTATGGACGCGCATCTTCAGATCTGAACGTGGAAATTGGTAGCATAATTCAGACAAAAACCCAGTTGAACACCATCCCAATCGGAATGGAATTGAATCCTTGCCGATTTCCATAAAGGTGTCAATTTAGGCAATTCACCATCATTTTTCTTCAGGCATACATTTGATTTCAAGAAGATTCCGAACAGATGTTAATAACATGGGCCAACGTGAGTCCCATTCGTGGTGCTCCACAGTTAGAACGCATGACTTAGTGGTTCGCCTGAGTGGAGGCAACACGAACCCTTCTGGCTGTTTTAATAACCGTTTGGTGATACTCCTTATTTTCTTGCGTATTGCCATTTTGAGGGTGGCATTACCCTGCATTTTGTTATACAAGAAGACGAAAAACTCAGTGGAGCGCAAATCAATCAACTCCTTTTGACTACACAATTTGTACGACTCCTTGAATTCAGGAAGCCAGCCGACAAATCTCAGTGTGAACTTGAAGCCAAAATATTTTCGAGGCAACATGCCAAGTTTGTGTTTACCTGAAGCTGTAATGCTACATCTTTTTCGATGGAGGTGACCCACAGAAACCGCTCAACCGCACAAATTAGCGCGAAATCTGAGAAAAAATCCAGCTTTCCGATGTAAGCTTCCTTGAAAGTAACAAGGAGAATATTGATTAAAATGGACATGTCGCTATCGCAAGATACCGGGGCATCTTCCACGACTGAGCTTAGAAGTGGGCAGGAATTCCTGAGAAATGGAAATTGCCCATACGACTGGGTTTTCTCCTCCGTTTGAAGCTTGGTCCCCCCAAAAAAAAAAGAGATGTATCAAGTGATTTTGAATGCGTT